ATTACTGTTTTTATCTGTGTTTACTGGTCTTTACCTTTGTTTACATGTGTTTACCAGTGTTCATTTGTGTTGACTGATGTTTACTTGTTTTTACTAGCATTTACTGGTGTTTATACTTGTGTTTACCTGTGTTTTACTGGTGTTTACCTGCAGTGTTTACTGAAATCTATAGAAACATGTTACCAATGGTGTGTTTACCATATAGCACTAAACACAAAGAGGGATACCAAGAAACTGGTCTTAAGCCACATATGCCATATATGGCATGGACCATTCACCCATGGACTACACCTGTTACATGTACATGTACATACATGTATTGGTACATATGTACTAGCAATGTATTGTACTTGTATTTTAAACAACATTAGCAAGAGATAAGTTGGTTTGACTGTTAGTGAGTATTGCTAATGGTATATTTATACCTAGAGATAGCAGGGACCATGGGGAGGATAGGATATTTGTTGATCCTCCTTGTATTGCTAATGTAGTTTATAGTTTTATTGCAAAAGTAGAAACATCATCAAAAAAGAGAAAAAAATATTTTAAAAGAAACAAGAAATATGTAGATAAAAATTTAACTTTCTAAATAATTAGTTTCTAAAACTAATTATAGCTAAAAATAATAATTATTGTATGATTAATTAAAACTCGCAGCATTAAAAAATTTAAAACAAATCAACAACTGATTCACGACTATCAGTGAGTCTAAAATCAGTAGAACTTGGAACTATTTCTCTCATCTGTTGATCAACAGTTAGATGTGATTCGGTTACATCTAAAAGTGGGCCATCATCTTCATCTTGTTTCTTGAATAACTTCTTAATTAGAGCATCATAACATTTCATATGTGATAACTGCAGGTAAAGATGATAAACAACAATCAAAATAAAACTAAAAATAAAAACAGATAAACAAGTATTGTACCAGATCAATACTTTACTCTCATCAGTAAAGGCTATAGATAAAGAAGCCATGATGCACAAGTTTAATAGGAATCAAAATTCAATGATATTTTTCAATTTCTTTCTGTACACACCACCAAAGATAAAACCAAGGGAGAGGATAATAGCTGCTACTGCCAATAGCAAGACACGTGATTCATTCTTCAAAAAGGTGACAGTTAAAAGTACTGGTATCCTAGCCACTAGGAGTAGACCAGGCCAGAACCGATACTCATCTTTCATTGGACCACTATAAGCATCAATAATAGGCTTGAAGCGACTCAAGCTCTTAAACAGTTTAAAATGTGACAAATACTTCTCAAGTACTGGATGACATAAAAGGAACAGTGTGTATGGTATGACAAAAAAACAGTCACCAATAGGGCAAATCCAAATAGTCCAGCATGCTTCCCTTTAGCATATTCAACATTAGGATTCTCATACCATAAACTGACTGATCTTACTGACTCATTTCTACAGTGAAGAGTTACCTCATGCTTGTGTAGTACAATAACAATAGTACGTACTAGTTTAGTATACGAGAGAAAAGTAAGTGCATGTAGATAGAACAGGAACAGCATCATTCAGCTTTATTTGATCATCAGTCCTATCTTGGAAGTCTTGGAGATATTTCCTCTTTTACATACATATTGTTTCCTTTCATTGGACTAGTAACTGATGTGCGTATAGGAAGATACAGGGCAGTAACAATTGGTGTGAACCTTTGTTTCTTATCATAGATTATAACTGGAATTTTGGTTATACTAAACAGTTGTTACGGTGGGTTTATGGGGAAGAAGTGGATTCTGCCTGGTTCCATAATTAATGGCATTGGTTACATTACTTTTGCTGCTAATATTATTCAATATAACATTGATCAGTTAATTGGAGCATCAGCTAATGAATTAAGTACTATTACATACTGGAACTTTGCTGCTTATCCAACTGCATGGGTGCTAAGTAACTGGTTATCATTACTTGATACTGTAACTGCATATTTACTCTTTATTATAACGTCAGGAGTAGCAGTGTCTCTGATACTTGTATTTCATTCATTATTTAAACACAAACTGGAGAACATATCACTGATTAAGAATCCAGTCAAACTGATAGTTAGAGTATTGTGTTATGCCAGGAAGCACAAGTATCCTGAGAATCGTAGTGCTCTTACCTACTGGGAGGAAGAGGCTCCTTCAAGACTAGACCTGGGTAAGGATAAATATGGTGGACCATTCACAGAGGAAGAGGTAGAAGATGTGAAGACATTCTTTCGTATTTTACCAATATTTATTGCTGCAATTGGATTCAGTTCTGCTCTATTTTCATCAGGGCAGGAGTCTCAAGGCAAATGTTCATTGAGTAAGCCCTCAGTCCATTGTATCATATTTGCTTATGGTGGTACATATCAAATCGTTGTTCTACTCTTAATCTTCATTTATCAGTTCATCATTCGTGGTTGCTTCCACAAGTATATACCCAGTATGCTTATTAGAATGGGTGCTGGTCTTGTTTTTGCTTTTTTAAGTTGCATCACTCAATTATTAGTTTATATATTTGCCTCATATGAATTTCTACTAATGATTCAAGACATACTACTTGGGATTACATGTTTTCTTATTTATCCCACTTCACTTGAGTTTACAGTAGCACAGTCTCCAGAATACATGAGAGGAATGATGGTTGGACTCTGTTATTCATCACTGGGAATTGGAACTATAATTGGTTTTATGTTAACACTTTTGTCTAAAAAAACATACTATTATATAATAGCAATACGTTGTGCTTTCCAGCTTCTTATACTGGTAGTGTTTGTGATACTAGCTAAACATTACAAGTATTGTGTGAGAGAGAATGAAGTTAATATTGTTCAGATAGTTGATGATCATTATCAGAGATACATGGAACAAGAAGATGAATATAAGCGGCACAGAGTGACTCTTGAGAATGAAACAAATGATGTTATCAATGATTGATCAAGAAGCATGGTCGTACAATTAACAGTTTGTGCTCTTGGTGCTCCTTATCTTTTTGTTAACTGCACTTTTAACTCTTAGCAATACAAATATGATGTGTATACACTATCAGTATCATTTGATTATTTTATTGATGTACTTTTTGTTTATTATACTATTAACCTAACATAATAGCCAAACTGAAAATAGCATGAAGTACAATTATATGTACGTACAATAAAATTAACCACAGTGAAATTTACAACAATTTAACAACATTAAACAGTTGACATTGTAAGTGTCATGAACATATCTATTGTTCATGCAATTGCCTGGGAGCAATCTATGAAAAAGGCAACCATGCTGTGAGAATATTTAAGGGCTGTAAATTTCCCAGATTTGATGGGAATTTGATATTTGTAATAATTTTTTCATTTTCAAAAATTAAGAGTATCATGATATTATAATAGCAACAATACAAATTAATAATAATAAAAATAATGTTACTGACACAGTCATGTTGATGATAACTAGATAAAATATACTAAACTAGCAATGAAATAATACTAAAATATTATGCCTGGAAATTAAACAACAAAATTCAATAAACAACAAGTCGGTTATTACCAGAATCACAAATATACAAAAATCCATTTTTATCAAATGTCAATCCTTTAGGGTTTTTAAACTGGTCGATATTACTCCCTTCCTTTCCAAACTTAGTAACAAACTCACCCTCACTAGTGAAGACAGAAATGCGATGATTGCCCCATTCACTAACATACACTAGACCAGTACCTGCAGTGTCTATTGCTATACCATATGGACTATTAAGCTTTCCAGCACCAAATGTTTTTGTACCAAACTGAGCCAAAAATTTTCCATCTGGAGAAAACTTTTGAATGCGATGATTATTGCAATCAGCTACATACACTAACCCCTGACTGTCAAGAGCAATCTCTAGAGGAAACATAAATTGTCCATTGGCTGATCCTTCACTGCCAAATGAATGAGAGAAGGTTAGATCAGAATTCAAGACTTGTATACGATGATTACAATCAGCAATATAAACCTGTTCTGTTATAGGAGAAATGGCTATACCAGCAGGAAATTGAAATTGTAGTGGTTCAGTGCCCCTCTCACCAACTGATGCTGTATGGTATCCATCCATGTCTATCTTTTGAATGTTGTCTTTATCAGACAAAAGAATAAATTTGTCTGTAGTAATGGCTAAACCACGAGGGACCAAAAACGTAGCATCGCAGCTTCCCTCTAATGATGTCACTTTCTTTCCTTTTCTATCTAG